CAAGGTTTATATAGCATGCAAGAAACAAGGTTGGAAAGTGGATTGTGGGACCAAGAATTGTAGTGCAAGAAAAGTAGAGTGCCACGTGGCACTAGAGAATCTGAGAAGATAAGGATAAGGATGACTTGGAAAGTACTGTTCAAAGTGAACAGTAAATCCCCCCTTAACACTACCCCCCTCCCAAGGAGGCGACGTCCGCGGCGCCTGCAGACTGAAGGTACGCTCGGAGGCAAGCGTTGTCGGGAGACAGCGAGGACGAAGGAACCCAGCTGTCGTCGGCTGCATCGTAACCACGCCAACGAACCAAGAAGTCGATGAAAGAGACACCTCCCTGCAGACGGCGACGGTGCCTGAGGATGCGCTGGATCTGGTAGTCGGGCTCGTCGGTGTCAACAGCTACCGGCAGTGGAGTGCGATCACGGCCCGAGAAGGTGGTGTTGGGATCAGTGTAAGGCCGAAGGAGAGACACGTGGAATGATGGGTGCATGCGGAAATGAGCGGGAAGGCGGAGGCGGTATGCGACTGGACCAAGTGCGCGCTCAATGACAAATGGACCAATGAAACGTGGGCGAAGCTTGCTATCCTGTGGCAGTCGGAGGTTGCGGCTGTCGAGAAGGACACGGTCACCAACTGAAAACGACACCTCACGACGACTGCGGTTGGTAGTGCGTGCCATGCGTGCATTTGCGAGCTCAAGGTGCTTCTTCACGTGATCGTGAATGAAGGTGAGATGCTGGTGGAAGTTGTCCGCACGAGGGACAGTGGGTGTGAGATCGACACGAGTGGGGACATTGGGGTGCTGACCGTACAGTGCGAAGAACGGTGACATGCCTGTGGCGGAGTGGTGCGTGTTGTTGTAGGCGAACTCAGCCATGCTCAGCTTCTTGTCCCATGCTGCTGCGTCGTGCATCGTGATGCTGCGAAGGATCTGCTCCAAGGTCTGGTTCACGCGCTCAGTCGGTCCGTCTGTCTCTGGATGGTATGCAGACGACATGGCTAAGCGAGTCCCAAACAGTGCGAAAAGCTGCTTCCAGAACTTTTAGGTGAATCGAGGGTCGCGGTCAGAAATAATCGAATCTGGAACCCCGTGCAGTCGAACTACGTTATCTACAAACAGCGTCGCGGCTTCCTCTGCTGTGACCTGGCCGTGCGTGGGGATGAAGTGCGCTGCTCGAGAAAACTTGTCGACTACAACGAAGATGGCGTCGTGACCCCTAACTGTGCGCGGTAATGCCATGATGAAATCCATGGTAACTACCTGCCAAGGGCGGTCGGGCGGTGGAATCGGCTGCAAAAGTCCTGCCTTGCGCTGTCGCGAGGACTTCGTACGCTGACACGTGTCACACGAGCGAATGTAATCCTCTACGTCTGCTGCAAGCCCTGGCCAGTAGTACGTGCGACTAAGCGTCTTAGCCGTCTTATCTGCTCCGAAGTGACCTGCACTAACTACATCGTGCGCCTCTGAGAGAAGGAGCTGTCGAAGAGGGCGGTAGGCTGGAACCCAAATCCGTGTGGTGCCCTTCCGTATGTAAACACTACCCTGCACCTCTGCTCCTGCGGGCGGCTGCGGTGTGAAGTCGGGATCTACTGTGTAACCGTGCTCGAAGAGTGCTGTGAGAAGTGGATGGCCTGCAGTGACTGTGAGGCTAGCGAGCTGGCAACTAGGGCGAGTGAGCGGATCTGCTGGGTTGCGCACGCCTGGCTTGTACTCTATCCTGTAATGAAAGCTCCCCTCCATGAACTCCATCCATCTAGCCTGGCGACGACTCAGCTGCGGTTGCGACTTGAGAAAGCGAAGCGAGCAGTGGTCCGTGCGTATAACACTGTCTGCCCCCTCTAGGTAGCACCTCCATACCTTATACGCATGGATGATCGCGAGCGCCTCTTTGTCGTGTATGGGATAGTTCAACTCCGCTCCCCTCAGCTTACGCGACTCGTACGCGATCGGCTGCAACCCGCGTCCCTGGTCCTGAAGAAGTACTGCTCCTATGGCCTGATCTGAAGCGTCGGTCACTACAACGTACGGGCGAGTGGGATCAGGGTACGACAGTGTCGGTGAAGACGTGAGCGACTGCTTCATCTGCTCGAACGCCTGCTGCTGCGCTGGACCCCAAACGTACTCTACGCCTTTCCGAAGTAGGTCGGTGACTGGACTAGCGATTGATGCGTAACCCTGAACGAAACGGCGGTAGTAATTCGCGAATCCGAGAAAGCTCTGCAACTCCTTGACTGAGGTCGGTGCTACCCAATCCTGTACCGCTGCGATCTTCTTCGGGTCGGTCCTAACGCCACTAGCGGATACGACGTGTCCTAGGAACTCGACCTCTGGAAGGAAGAACTCGCACTTCGACTGCTTCGCGTACAGCTTCTCCCTCCGCAAGACCTCAAAGACCTTCTGCAAGTGCTGCACGTGCTCCTCTTTCGACTTGGAGAAGATCAAGATGTCGTCTAGGTAAACGACAACGAACGAACCTAGGAACTCGGAGAGGACGGTGTTCATAAGCGTCTGGAACGTCGCTGGGGCGTTGGTCAGTCCGAACGGTAGAACCCTAAACTCGTACAACCCCTGCTTCGTACGAAACGCCGTCTTGTGCTGGTCCTCTGGAACTACACGAATCTGGTGGTAACCCGAACGAAGGTCGATCTTAGAAAAGACTCTAGCGCCCTGCACTGCATCTAGAAGATCCTCTACTCTCGGCACCGGGAATCTGTTCTTGACGGTGGCGGCGTTCAGTGCGCGGTAATCTATGCACATCCGTAACCCTCCGTCTTTCTTAGGCGCGAAAAGGATCGGTGCGGCCCAAGGCGATCTAGATGGCTGTATGAACCCCTGTGCGAGAAAGTGCCTAACCTGCTGCGTCATCTCCTCTGTCTCTGCTGGACTCAACCTCCACTGCGGCTTCGCTACTGGCCTGCTCCCCGGCTCCAACTCTATTCGATGGTCGACTGCTCGGCTAGGAGGTAACCCTGGGGGCAACTCGTCGGGGAAGACGTCTGCGAACTCTGCTAACAGTGCACTCACCTCAGCAGGAAGAGTCGCCTTCTCACTAACTGCTGCGCTCCCTCCTTTCCCCTCCTCAGCTTCCACCTCCTCAAGGAAAACCGCGAAGATCCGTGCCGCTCGCTTCACCAGCTGTCGCACACGAACAGCATTGATGATCGCTGTGGATGATGTGGCCCCATCGCTCCACTGTGGCAGCTCCCGGAACTCGCCATCTACCTTGACGCTGCAGCTTCCCTGAGCCCAATCGAACTGAGTCGAAACCGTCCGCAACCAATCTCTACCGAAGATGAAATCGTATCCGTCCAGCGTCGCAGAGTCGAAGTCACGTCTAACCGTGATCGGTCCTAGCACTACGCGCAACTTGCGAATGACTGGTCCTATGTGGAGAGGCGTCCCATCTATCATACGTGCGTCCTTGAAGTTGACTGAGGAATCTGCTTCAAGATGGAGACGACTAACTAATGAAGACGAAACGAACGAGTGGCTAGCTCCGCTATCGACGAGAATCTTAACAGGAACTCCGCGAAGCTTCCCTAGAAGCACGACTGGACGATCAACAGTGTCTACCTCGTTCTCCGTAGATGACTGCTGCGAGGCCGTCTCCTCTACGTTGGTAGACCTGGCGGGTACGGGAACCTCCACACCAGCTAGCGACCCGCTATCTACTGGCGGTTTCCGTTTCCCTGCTGTCGCTCCTTGAACTGTGGGCAGTCCCGCTTCATGTGTCCCGGCTTTTTGCAGTAGTGACAGTTCCCCCTAAATCCGTTGCGCTGTGAGCCGTCACTGTTAACTGCACCAATCTCCATGGGCGACGGTCCGTCCCTCGATCGAGCGTCGTTGATCGGTCTGTTGTATCCCCTATCGCGATCGTCACGACCCCGTCGGCTTCGTACTGCGTCGACGCGTTCTGCTGCTGCGACTACTGACTCGAAGGTGGACAACCCGTGAATCGCAATAATCTCCGCTATGTCCGGCTTCAACCCTTCGAGGTAGCGATCGCGCATCTCTGCTTCCGTGATGTCGTCTATCTCGTTGCAGATGCTCAAGAACCGTCGTGTGTACTCCTGGACGTTTCCTATCTGTCGGAAATGACGCAGACGCTTCCTAGCAGCTTCGGAGGCATTCACCAAATCGAACCTACTTTTCAGCGCCGCTTCAAATCCTTCCCATGTCGTCGGAACCGTGGTAACACCCAAAGCTAAACTCCCTAAGCTCGAAGTTGCAGCTGCATGCCCTATGCCCTGTCAAACATTATTCTTGTGTTGTTGTTGTGTAGGCTACAGTGGGTTAGCCTTTAGGGGGTACACAATCCAAGGGTTTTGTATTTGTACTCCCATCTTCTCATAGTGCACACACTTCTCTCATTCTGACATGGTATTACGAGCCTAGGTTAGGAACCTAGGACCGACCGTTCCTACGGGCCCACCGTTCCGCTAGTAGCGCCCTCGTGCGCCTTCCCCACCTTGCGCCCTCGTGCGCCTCGCTCCTAGGGCGCCCTCGAGCGCCCCGCTTTTCTGCCGCGTCGCCCGCTAGCCGCCAGCGCGCGGCCCGCTAGCCGCCCGCGCGCGGCCCGTTTTTTGCCCGCGCAGCCCGCTAGCCGCCGACGCGCGGCCTGTTTCTGACGCGCGCGACCCAGCAGCCGCCCGCACCGCCGCAGCCGCCCACGAGCAGCCCGCTAGCCGCCCGTTCGCCGCCGCGTCGCTGCTGCAGACCGCCGCCCGCGCGCAACTGCAGCCCACGCACAGCCACCGCATCCGCCCAGGCTCGCCGTCGCGTCGCCCTGCCTGTCCAAGCGCACCACACAACCCAGACCTAGCCGCGCCGCCCTCACTGAGCCGCGCCGCCCTGACTGAGCCGCGCCGCTTGGACCGAGCCGCGCCTCCTAGACCGAGCCGCGCCGCCCTGCTGTGCCCCACCTGCAGCATCTACTGTTCCTGCTACTGCTCCTACTGCTACTGCTCCTGCTGCTACTGTTCCTCCTCCTGCTACTGCTACTATGGCCAGTCCTACTGTGCTTACCTTTGACGCTGAGGGTCGTCCTATTAAGTTCGATGTTTGGCTCGATGACCTTCACCTCTACCTTCAGATCACCGCCAAGGACGATATTTCTCTTTATGACCACACGTCCGGCGCCGCTCCCGCTCCTGCTGCCGATGCTGATAGCACCTTGCGCTCGCAGTGGCAGACCCGTGACGCTCACGCTCGCCTAGCCGTTCGCAGCCACCTGCCGTTAGATGAGCGCGAGCATTTTGGCCAGCATAAGACCGCCAAGGAACTGTACGACGCCGTAGTCGCGCGCTACTCCTCCCCTGCCACTGCTACTATAGGCCGTCTCTCACTGCCCTACCTCTTTCCCGACCTGTCCGCCTTTGCCACTGTCGCTGACCTCATCACCCACCTCCGTACCAGTGACCTCCGCTACCGTGCCGTCCTCCCCCCCGATTTCCTCGCCAAGAACCCCACCCCCCGATGTACCTCACACTGTACCACCTTGTCACCCGCCTCCCTGACTCCCTTCGCACTGTCAGGGACCAGTTTCTCGCTCTCTCCCCCACTGACCTCACTGTCGACCTCCTCGAGAAGGAACTCCTAGCAGCTGAGAAGAGTATTGTAGCTGTAGGTGCCTCTCGTGGTGACCCCCGCACCCCCTTCTTTGAAGGGTGCTCCCCCTCCCCCCTCCTCCCCTCCATTGCATCTGCTGCGCTGTCGACTACCTCGGTGCTGAGGGAGTCGGGACTGCGTCTGCTCCCAGTGGGAGGCGCAAGAGCGGCAAGGGCAAGGGGGGGCGGGGTGGTGGAGGTGGAGGTGGGGGCGGCGGCGGTGGAGGGCGTGGGGGGGGCGGGGGTGGTGGCGGAAGTGGGAGTGGCGCGGGTGGTGGGGGGGTCAGTGGCGGCGCAGGGGGTGGTGGCGGCGGCGGCGGTGGTGGGGGTGGGGGTGGGGGAGGAGGTGGTGGCGGTACTGGCGGTGGTGGAGCGGGTGGCGGGCGCGGTGGAGCGGTGCAGCGTGGGGGGTTCGGAGGTGGTCCGAGGCAGCCGCAGCAGCGTCCTGGCGAGACTCCCTCGCCCCAGCAGCTTCGTGAGTGGTACTCTCAGCGTGGGGGGTCTGGGGGTGGAGGCATTTGCTCGTACGTCATCCGCACAGGTGATCGCGCTGGCCAGACTTGTGGGAGGTTCCACCCGACACAGCGCTGCTTCTCTCGCCTCGATGACGCCTGGCGCGAGCAGTTCCCTGACGCCTCTGAGCTGCCTCGCTGGGCTGATCTGCTTAGGAAGGGAATTGATATCTTTGCTCTTGATTATGATGCTATCCTTGCTGCCATGTATGCATTGACTATTAGTGCTGAGGGTGACTGTTACCTGAGTGTGCCGCCTGACCCAGGTATTGGTACTGGTATGGCTGCTGCGCTAGGTGCTAGTGCGTCTGCGTCTGCTGGTACTGAGTCTGCTACAGCACTGCACACCTTCACCCTGGACTCAGGTGCTTCCCGCTGTTTCTTTCGTGACCGCACAGTCCTTGAGCCACTCGCTCGGCCTGTTGCTGTCTCCCTTGCTGACCCCTCTGGGGGCCCGGTCCTTGCGACCTCCTCCACTGTCCTCCCTTGTCCTGCGGCCCCGTCTGGCACTTTGTCGGGTCTTTACCTCCCCTCGTTCTCTACGAACTTGGTGGCGGGCTCTGCTCTCCAGGACGGGGGTGTTCACCAGTCCACCCCTGAGCGAGTGACCCACTGTACGTGTGCTCGGACGGGTCGCCACCTGGCTACCTTCACTCGGCAGCCGGGGTCCGACCTGTACACACTGACCACTGAGTCCCCTCAGGTAGCTGCGTCTGCGTTTGCGTCAGGTCAGCTGTCGGCTCCCTGCTCGTGTCGCTCCCTGTCGCACCAGACCGTCCTCTGGCACCACCGCCTTGGTCACCCCTCCGTGCAGCGCCTTCGTGGCATGCACTCCCGTTACCTTGTCTCTGGTCTTCCCAGAGTTCTCCCTCCCCTCCCACCCTCGCCTGCTCCTCCCTGTCTTCCCTGTGTCGAGGGGCGGCAGCGCGCCACCCCTCACTCCTCCTCGTTTCCTCCCACAGAGGCTCCTTTGCAGACTCTTCACCTGGACGTGTGGGGCCCAGCCCGCGTCCGGGGACAGGGCCACGAGCGGTACTTCCTGCTGGTCGTCGACGACTACTCGCGCTACACCACGGTCTTCCCCTTGCGCACCAAGGGTGAGGTCCCTGATGTTTTGATCCCTTGGATCCGCGCTGCTCGTCTCCAGCTCCGCCAGCGGTTCCAGTCGGACTTTCCCGTCCTGCGTCTGCACTCTGACAGGGGTGGTGAGTTTTCCTCCGCCCTCCTGGCTGCCTACTGTGCGGAGCACGGCATCCGCCAGACTTTCACTCTTCCGGACTCCCCACAGCAGAATGGGGTTGCTGAGCGTCGCATTGGTTTAGTCATGGAGGTCGCTCGTACCTCCATGATCCATGCGGCTGCCCCCCATTTCCTGTGGCCGTTTGCAGTGCGGTACGCTGCGCATCAGCTCAACCTTTGGCCCCGTGTCTCTGCTCCGGAGACCTCGCCCACACTGCGTTGGACGGGGGAGGTTGGCGATGCGTCGGTGTTCCGTGTCTGGGGATGCCGAGCCCTTGTTCGCGATACGTCCGCGGACAAGCTCTCCTCCCGTGCCGTTCCCTGCGTCTTCCTTGGCTTTGTTCCTGACGCGCCTGGCTGGCAGTTTTACCACCCCACCTCGCACCGTGTCTTTGCGTCTCAGGACGTCACCTTTGACGAGTCGGTACCCTTTTACCGTCTCTTCCCCTACCGCACTGCCCCCCTCCCTCCCCCGCCGCTTTTCCTCGCTCCAGGTCCCCCTCCGCTAGACCCCCTTCCCCCTCAGGGTCCTGCTCCTTCAGGTGTCTCTCAGGTAGACCCTCCTCCCGTCGCTGAGCCTGTCGAGGTCACAGGTGACTCAGGTGCTGCTGCAGGTGGTGCTGCTGGGGGTGCTGAGCCTGGGGGTGCTGCGACTGGGGGTGCTGAGCCTGGGGGTGCGGAGTCTGGGGGTGCTGACACTGGGGGTGCTGAGCCTGCGGGTGCGGAGCCTGGGGGTGCTGAGACTGGGAGTGCTAAGCCTGGGGGTGCGGTGCCTGGGGGTGCTGAGACTGAGGGTGCTGTGCCTGGGGGCGCTGAGCCTGGGTTTGCTGAGCCTGGGGGTGCTGAGCCTGGAGGTTCTGGTGCTGCTGGTGCTGCCACTGGAGCTGGAGGTCCTGGAGCTGCTACGGACACTGGCGCTGCGGGTTCTGAGTCTGCTGTTGCGCGGTCCCCTTGGAGTAGCCGCCTTCGTACGCGTGTGCCTCTCACCTCCCAGCAGCTGCGCGACTGGTACGGTCGCCGTCAGCGTCGCGCTCCTGTGGCTCGGGACCCTGCTCCTGGCGGTTCTTCCACTGACGTCACTGGAGCTGCGGGTGGTGCTGGTTTGTTGTCTCCTGGGGGTGCCCACGTCGCTGGTCCCGGAGGTGCTCGTACCGCTGGTACTCGAGCTGCTGGGGCTGGTGGTGTTGTGTTTGAGGGTCCTCCTCCTGGGGACGTTGCGACTGGGGGTGCTGGTTCTGGAGGCGCTGCGACTGGTGGAGACGGTCCTGGAGGAGTTGCTGCTGGGGGTGGTGGAGCTACTGGAGGTGCGGGAGCTGCTGTGGGTGCTGGAGCTGCTGGTGCTGTTGCCACTACACAGGCGCGCGCGACTGTTCTTCGCTCCGCCGTCTTCGTCGTCTCTGCCACCTCCTGACTCTGTCCTTCACCAGGTTCTTAGTCTTCCGTCTTCTACCGGTCTTCCCCTCCTGCCTGACTCACCGCTTCCTGCTCCTTCTCCTTACACTGAGCAGTCAGGAGGTCTTACTGAGCGTCGTGAGCCTGCGTCGCGTCCTGTCTCGCCAGTTCGCTCTGGACGCACCGTTCGTCGTGGTCCGCGTTCGCGGTCGCCGTCTGTCCCCCGCACGCGCCTTGTCGTTCGTCGTTCTTCCTCTGTTCCGCAGTCTGTTCCTCTGCCGTCCCCTCCTGAGTCGTCTTTGCCTCACGTTCCGGACCCTGAGTCTGACCCGTTTCGTGCTGAGCACCCTACTGTCACGCATCTGCTAGCCACTGTTGTCACTGACCCCTCGTTTGAGTCTTCTGCTGCGTCTGCCTTAGTCGCTGAGCTTGTTGACTTTGCTGCTGCCTTTCGTCTAGACTACGCTGCTAGCCTTGTTGCTGAGTCTGAGTCTGTCTGTCCTCCGTCCGTCGGGGGTGAGTGTGCTCTTGGCACGGACGTCCTTGAGGACAGGCACGAGGACCTTGAGTGTCTTGCAGCCGTTGCGCCTCATCTCGTGGCCATGCTGCTTGCCCCTGAGGGAGACCCGGATGCTATAGACATCCCTACCCCGCGATCTTACGCTGAGGCGATCGCGGGTCCCTACTCCTCTCAGTGGCAGGCAGCCATGGACGCAGAGATGGCATCCTGGAAGTCCACTGGCACTTACGTCGACGAGGTTCCCCCTCCTGGGGCGAACATCGTCAGTGGCATGTGGATTTTCAGGGTGAAGCGGCCGCCGGATTCTCCGCCTGTCTTCAAGGCTCGTTACGTTGCCCGAGGCTTCAGTCAGCGAGAGGGAGTCGACTTCTTTCAGACCTTCTCCCCCACCCCGAAGATGACCACTCTTCGGGTACTGCTGCACGTTGCCGCTCAGCGTGACTACGAGCTTCACTCTCTTGACTTCAGCACAGCTTTCTTGCAGGGCAGTCTGCACGAGGAGATCTGGCTGCGCCGCCCTCCTGGCTTCACTGGGTCGTTTCCTCCTGGTACCCAGTGGAGCCTCCGCCGGCCGGTCTACGGTCTCCGCCAGGCGCCACGTGAGTGGCACGACACACTGAGGACTACACTTGCGGCTCTTGGGTTCGCGCCGTCTACTGCTGACCCGTCGCTGTTTCTGCGCACCGACACTTCGCTGCCGCCGTTCTACATCCTCGTGTACGTCGACGACTTGGTCTTTGCCACTGCTGACACTGAGGCTCTCGCCCACGTGAAGTCCGAACTGCAGAAGAGACACACGTGCACAGACCTGGGTGAACTGCGCAGCTACCTTGGCTTGCAGATCACCCGGGACAGAGCACGCCGCACCATCACACTGACTCAGTCACACATGGTGCAGCAGGTCCTTCAGCGCTTCGGCTTCACCTGGTCCTCAGCACAGGCCACTCCTCTGGCCATAGGTCACTCGCTCTCAGCTCTGCCTTCGGATGAGTCCGTAGAGCCGAGTGGTCCTTACCCAGAGCTAGTTGGTTGCCTCATGTACCTGATGACTTGCACTCGTCCTGACCTAGCGTACCCTCTTGGCCTTCTGGCTCGCTACGTGGCTCCTGGCAGGCACCGAAAGGTGCACTGGGATGCTGCGAAGAGGGTATTGCGCTACTTGTGCAGTACATCGGGCATGGGGCTCGTGCTTGGAGGAGGGAGCCCAGTTGTTCTCACTGGGCACTCAGACGCTTCTTGGGTTGACGACCAGGCTACTCAGCGGTCGTCCCAGGGTTACACCTTCAGTCTTAGCTCTGGGTCAGTTTCTTGGCGTTCTACACGTTCGTCTTCAGTCCTCAGCTCCAGTTGTGAGGCTGAGATCTACGCCACAGCCATGGCTGCTCAGGAGTTACGCTGGCTCACCTACCTGCTGACCGACCTGGGAGAGCGGCCTCGTTCTCCTCCAGTGCTGTACGTTGACAACAAGGCTGCCATTGCCTTGTGTGAGGAGCACAGACTGGAGCACAGAACGAAGCACATCGCTCTGCGGTACTTTCTGGCTCGAGAGTTGCAACAGCGTGGTCAGCTTCGTCTGCGTTACGTGGCCACTCAGGCCAACACTGCTGATATATTCACCAAGGCACTCCCGCCTAGTGATCATCAGCGCTTCTGCACTTTGTTGGGGCTTGTGCCCACTTTTCCTCACTTGCTGTAGACTTTGCGTGTACTGTGATCTATATATATATATATATATATATATATATATATACCTGCATGCTTGCTAGATATAGATCACTGTGATGCTTGTGTTACATATATGCCTCTGCATGTGAACTAGCCTTGTGGCTCTTTGCTTGTGCTCAGAGTGTGTGGTGACGTTGTGATCCACCCTGGGCTTGCTTGTCTTTTTGACTGGTCTTGTGACCCCTTGCTCTCCCCCACTTTGCCTATGGGGGTGTGTCAAACATTATTCTTGTGTTGTTGTTGTGTAGGCTACAGTGGGTTAGCCTTTAGGGGGTACACAATTCTAGGGTTTTGTATTTGTACTCCCAACTTCTCATAGTGAACACACTTCTCATTTTGACATGCCCTGTTGATGCCCGTCTAACTGAGCCCTCCGTACAGCAGTCTGCGTAAGTTGGCGCCACCACTCCAAGGCCGGGTCTCTCAGCAGCGTTACGGCGTACTCGATCCGCTGCTGCGCGTTTGCCTCTTGCACCCCGCTCGCGGCGAAGTAGTTGTTGAGCATGAAGAGCCACGTCCGCACGTTCGCGTCGCGTTGACTTGGGTCGAACGACTCGGGCTTCTGCGGCTTGAGTGCGCTTCGACGTTCCGGCAGCGCTTCCGCGCCAGTCGACGTGGTGGGTGCAGGAGTTGGTGCGGCAAGGCCATGGGGGTTAGAAGCCAAATTGCGAAGCTGTTGCATTTCGGCTCGTACCTGACGATTTTCGAACGTCAATTCTTCGAGTTGACGCATGAGCTCGGCAAGCGTGTTGCCCATGTCGTGGGGGAAAGCGTTCATGGATTCGTCCATGTTCGCTCGACGACTCCAAGTCTGCAAGTCGGCACTGTTAGAATCTGACAGCAGGAATGAATGCATTGATCAAGAGTTGGGTACATAAGCTAACCCTAACATTGGGTTGTACCCCATATGGGCTACCCCACTAGCAGCCTACACAAACACAATATGCATAGTTTGACACACCCCCATAGGCAAAGTGGGGGAGAACAAGGGGTCACAAGACCAGTCAAGAGAAACAAAACAAGCTCAGGGTGGATCACAACGTCACCACACACACTGAGCACAAGCAAAGGGCCACAAGGCCTGTCCACATGCAGAGGTATATATGCAACAAACAAAGTACAGTGATCACTACCTAGCAAGAGCAAGCATGCAGGTATATATATATAAAGATCACAGTACAGGCAGAGTCTACAGCAAGTGTGGAAACGTAGGCACAAGGCCCAACAAGGTACAAAAGCGCTGATGATCACCAGACGGAAGTGCATTGGTGAATATATCAGCAGTGTTGGCCCGAGTGGCCACGTGTGCAAGACGAAGCTGACCACGCTGCTGCAACTCTCGAGCCAGGAAGTAACGCAGAGCGATGTGCTTCGTTCTGTGCTCCAGTCTGTGCTCCTCACACAAGGCAATGGCTGCCTTGTTGTCAACGTACAGAACTGGAGGAGAACGAGGCCGCTCTCCCAGGTCGGTCAGCAGGTAGGTGAGCCAGCGCAGCTCCTGAGCAGCCATGGCGGTGGCGTAGATCTCAGCCTCACAACTGGAGCTGAGAACAGAAGACGAGCGAGTAGAACGCCACGAAACAGAACCAGAGCCGAGGCTGAAAGTGTAACCCTGTGACGACCGCTGTGTAGCCTGGTCGTCAACCCAAGACGCGTCTGAGTGCCCAGTGAGGACCACCTCTCGCCGTCCTCCAAGCACGAGCCCCATGCCCGATGTACTGCACAAGTAGCGCAGTACCCTCTTCGCAGCATCCCAGTGCACCTTTCGGTGCCGACCAGGAGCCACGTAGCGGGCCAAAAGGCCAAGAGGGTACGCAAGGTCAGGACGAGTGCAAGTCATCAGGTACATGAGGCAGCCTACTAGCTCTGGGTAAGGACCACTCGGCTCTACGGACTCGTCCGAAGGTGGAGTTGAGAGCGAGTGACCTGTAGCCAGAGGAGTGGACTGTGCCGAGGACCAGGTGAAGCCGAAGCGCTGAAGGACCTGCTGCACCATGTGTGACTGAGTCAGAGTGATGGTGCGACGTGCTCTGTCCCGGGTGATCTGCAAGCCAAGGTAGCTGCGCAGCTCACCCAGATCTGTGCACGTGTGTCTCTTCTGCAGCTCGGACTTCACCAGGGCGAGAGCCTCAGTGTCAGCAGTGGCAAAGACCAAGTCGTCGACGTACACGAGGATGTAGAACGGCGGCAGTGAAGTGTCGGTGCGCAGAAACAGTGACGGGTCAGCTGTGGAGGGCGCAAACCCGAGAGCCGCAAGCGTAGTCCTCAGTGTGTCGTGCCACTCACGAGGCGCCTGACGGAGACCGTAGACTGGCCGGCGGAGGCTCCACTGGGTACCAGGAGGGAACGACCCAGTGAAGCCAGGTGGGCGGCGCAGCCAGATCTCCTCGTGCAGGCTGCCCTGCAAGAAAGCTGTGCTGAAGTCAAGCGAGTGAAGCTCGTAGTCACGCTGGGCGGCAACGTGCAGCAGTACCCGAAGAGTGGTCATCTTCGGGGTGGGGGAGAAGGTCTGGAAGAAGTCAACCCCCTCTCGCTGACTGAAGCCTCGAGCAACGTAACGTGCCTTGAAGACAGGCGGAGAACCAGGCGGCCGCTTCACCCTGAAAATCCACATGCCACTGACGATGTTCGCCCCAGGAGGGGGAACGTCGTCGACGTAAGTGCCTGTGGACTTCCAGGATGCCATCTCTGCGTCCATGGCTGCCTGCCACTGAGAGGAGTAGGGACCCGCGACCGCCTCAGCGTACGAGCGCGGGGTGGGGATGTCTAGTGCATCCGGGTCTCCCTCAGGGGCAAGCAGCATGGTCACGAGATGAGGCGCAGCGGCTGCAAGACACTCAAGGTCCTTGTGCCTGTCCTCAAGGACGTCCGTGCCAAGAGCACACTCACCCCCGACGGACGGAGGACAGACAGACTCAGACTCAGCGACAAGACTAGCAGCGTAGTCTAGACGACAGGCAGCCGCAAAGTCAACAAGCTCGGCAACCAAAGCTGTCGCAGCAGCAGACTCAAACGAGGGGTCAGTGACAACAGTGGCGAGCAGACGCGTGACAGTAGGGTGCTCAGCACGAAACCGGTCAGACTCAGGGTCCGGAACGTGAGGCAAGGAAGACGCAGGAGGAGACGGCAGAGAAACAGACTGCGGAACAGAGGAAGGACGACGGACGACAAGGTGTGCGGTGGGGACAGGCAGCGTACGCGGACGCGGAACACGACGACCGGTACGACTAGGACGAACAGGCGAGACAGGATGCGACGCAGGCTCACGACGCTCAGCAAGACTACCCGTCTGCTCAGTGTAAGGAGAAGGAGCAGGCAGCGGTGAGCCAGGCTGTAACGGAAGACCAGTAGACGACGGGAGAGTAAGAACCTGACGAAGAACAGAGTCAGGCGACGGCAGAGACGACGGAGACGGCGGAGCGAAGAACAGTCGTGGCGGCGCAGCTGCACCAGAACCAGCAGCTCCAGCAGCTCCAGTACCCCCAGCAGCTCCAGCACCTCCAGCAGCTCCAGAAGCTCCAGCAGCAGAACCGACACCTCCAGGCCCAGGGTCTCCAACCCCAGTGCCTCCAGCAGCAGCACCCCCAGAACCAGTACCTCCAGTCCCAGGGTCTCCAGCCTCCACGTCTCCAGCAGCAGCACCCCCAGAACCAGCACCTCCAGTCCCAGGGTCTCCAGCCTCCACGTCTCCAGCAGCAGCACCCCCAGAACCAGCACCTCCAGTCCCAGGGTCTCCAGCCTCGGTGTCTCCAGCAGCAGCACCTCCAGACGCAGCACCCCCAGCCCCAGCAGCTCCAGTACCTCCAGTACGAGCACCTCCGGGACCAGCGACTCCAGCACCTCCAGTAGAAACAGTACCAGCACCACTCCTAGCGCCAGGGACGGCAGCAGAAGTACCTCCAGCAGTAGAGCCCCGGGCTCCAGCAGCGCGACCCTGACGGCGACCGTACCAGTCGTGCAGCTGCTGCGAGGTGAGTGGCACACGTGGACGAAGGCGGCTACTCCAAGGAGACCGCGCAACAGCAGACTCTGAACCCTCAGCGCCAGCACCCTCAGCAGCTCCAGCGCCACCAGCACCAGGACCTCCAGCAGCTCCAGAACCTCCAGCGCTAGCACCCTCAGCAGCCCCAGAACCACCAGCTTGAGCACCTCCAGACCCCTCACACTCAGGCTCAGCACCTCCAGGCTCGACACCCTCAAGCTCCGCACCCCCAGGCTCCGCACCCCCAGGCTCAGCACCCCCAGACTCAGCACCCCCAGAAGTAGCACCCCGAGCAGGACCACCCCCAGCAGGACCTGAGTCACCAGTGACCTCAACCGGCGCAGGGAAGGGAGGAGGGTCTACCTGAGACACACCTGAGGGAGCAGGACCTGGAGCGGGGAGAGGGTCGACCTGGGGAGCACCTGGAGCGAGGAAGAGCGGCGGGGGAGGGAGAGGGGCAGTGCGGTAGGGGAAGAGACGGTAAAAGGGAACCGACTCGTCGAACGTGACGTCCTGAGACGCAAAGACACGGCGCGAGGTGGGGTGGTAAAACTGCCAACCAGGCGCGTCAGGGACAAAGCCAAGGAAGACACAGGGAACTGCACGGGCGGAGAGCTTGTCCGCGGTGGTATCGCGGACAAAGGCACGAGCACCCCAGACCCGGAAACGCGACGCATCGCCAACCTTCCCCGTCCACAGCAGTGTGGGCGAGGTCTCCGGCAGGGAGACACGGGGCCAGAGGTTGAGCTGATGCGTGGCGTACCGGACCGCAAACGGCCACAGAAAATGGGGGGCAGCCGCATGGATCATGGAGGTACGAGCGACCTCCATGACTAAGCCAATGCGGCGCTCAGCAACCCCATTCTGCTGCGGAGAGTCCGGAAGCGTGAACGACTGGGTGATGCCGTGCTCCGCACAGAAGGCTGCCAAGAGGTCGGAGGAGAACTCACCACCTCTGTCAGAGTGCAGACGCAGGACGGGAAACTCCGTCCCGAACCGCTCGCGGAGCTGGAGACGGGCAGCGCGGATCCAAGGGATCAAAACAGCAGGGACCTCCCCCTTGCTGCGCAGGGGAAAGACCGTGGTGTAACGCGTGTAGTCGTCAACAACCAGCAGGAAGTACCGCTCGTGGCCCTGTCCACGGACGCGGGCTGGGCCCCACACGTCCAGGTGGAGAGTCTGCAGGGGAGCCTCTGTGGGAGGGAACGAGGAGGAGTGAGGAGCGGCGCGCTGCCGCCCCTCGACGCAAGGAATGCAGGGCGGCGCAAGCGAGGGAGGCAGGGCAGGCAAAGACCTGGGCAGACCAGAAACCAGGAAGCGAGAGTGCATGCCACGAAGGCGCTGCACCGAGGGGTGACCAAGGCGGTGGTGCCACAGGAGGGTCTGGTGCGACAAAGCGCGACACTCGCAGGGGGCCGTCGGCTGACCGGACGCAGACGCAGACGCAGCTACCTGAGCGGACGCAGTGGTCAGGGTGTACAGACTCGAGCCAGGCGCACGGGAAAACGTGGCCAGGTGTCGGCCGGTCCGAGCACACGTACAGTGAGTCACCCGCTGACTCGCAGGAGTGAACTGGTGCACCCCCTGATCCTGGAGGTCAGCTCCACTCACCAAGTTCGTAGAGAACGAGGGGAGGTAAAGACCTGACAGCAAGCCAGACGGGGCGGCCGGACACGGCAGAACCGTGGAGTAGTGGGCAAGGACTGGACCCCCAGAGGGGTCCGCCAGGGAGACTGCAACCGGCCGACTAAGCGGCGTGAGTGTGGTGCAGTCGCGAAAGAAGGAGCGGGAGGCACCTGAGTCAAGCGTGAAGGTGTACAAGGCCGCAGTAGGCGCAGAACTAGAGAGAGCAGACCCACCAGCACCTGGAGCAGGAAACGTACCGGCACCTAGAGCAGCAGCCTCACCAGCACCCAGAGGAGGAGACACACGAGCACCTAGGGCAGCAGCCTCACCAGTACCGGGAGCAGCAGGTGCTATACCAGGGTCAGGCGGGACGCACAGGTAACAGGCACGGTCAACACTAGTAGGCAATGCATACATGGCAGTGAGAATAGCATCATAGTCAGGAGCAAAGATATCTACCCTCTGTCCAAGCAGCTCCAGCCAGTCGGGGAGCTCAGCCTCGTCGCCAAACACTGTACGCCAGTCGTCGCTCAGACGGGCGAAGCAGCGGGACTGTGTGTGACCAAGCGTCCCGCAAGGCTGACCAGTCCTATCACCTGTGCGAAGGACGTACTGGCAGCGAACTGTACGCGTAGACCTGCTACACTGAGCGTACCACTCGTGGAGCTGCCGGGACGTAAGTGTCTCGCGCGGACGCCGCTGCAGCTGCAGCTGGCCACTGCCAGTCGCTCCCAACGGACCAGCTCCAGGGGGACAGCTACGACTGCTACCGCGACAACCCCAGCTAGTATACCACTCACTAAGCTGCTGGGGCGTGAGAGACTCACGTGAACGTCGCTGGGGCTGCATCTGGCCACCGGCCAGTAGCAGTAGCAGCAGCAGTAGCGCGGGCAGGGCAGGCGCGGCAGGCCGACAGGCAGGCAGGTAGGCAGGCAGGCCGGCAGGCAGGCAAGCAGACAGGCAGGCCGGCAGGCTGGCAGGCAGGCAGGCAGGCCGGCAGGCAGGCAGGCAGGCAGGCAGGCAGGCAGGCAGGCAGGCCGGCAGGCAGGCAAGCAGACAGGCAGGCCGGCAGGCTGGCAGGCAGGCAGACAGGCAGGCCGGCAGGCAGGTAGGCAGGCAGGCAGGCAGGCCGGCAGGCAGGCAAGCAGACAGGCAGGCCGGCAGGCAGGCAGGCAGGCAGGCAGGCCGGCAGGCAGGCAAGCAGACAGGCAGGCCGGCAGGCAGGCAGGCAGGCGCTCACCAAAGGCTGGAAGAGCAGGCGCTCGCCGGGCGAGCAGGGCCGGCGCTCAACGGTCGGCGGCGTAGTAGGCGCACGACAGCGGCGACGTCGGGGCCGCAACACCCGGTGCAGAGTAGGGCCGAAGCAGCTGCAGGCGGGACCGCTTCAGCGGCAGGTCGGGGCCGTGGCAGCTGCAGAGCGGGGCCGTATCAGCGGCAGGTCGGGGCCGAGGCAGAGGGACGCGCGCGGCTCGGCGCGGGCTGCGCTGACAGCGCGCTGGGCTGCTGCAGGCCGCGCGCGGCCGCGTTAGGTAGTGGCGAGCCGCGCGCGGCTCGGCGCGGGCTGCTGCGAGCCGCGCGCGGGCTGCAGCGGGCGGCGCGCGGGCCTCGCGAGGCAGGAGTAGGCCCGCGCGCGGCGCTACGCGGGCTGCGTGGGCTCGGCGCGGGCTGCGCGCGGCTGCAGCGGGCTGCGCGCGGCTCGGTGCGGGCTGCGCGCGGCTGCAGCGGGCTGCGCGCGGCTCCGTACGGGCTGCGCGCGGCTGCAGCGGGCTGCGCGCGGCTCGGTGCGGGCTGCGCGCGGCTGCAGCGGGCTGCGCGCGGCTCGGTGCGGGCTGCGCGCGGCTGCAGCGGGCTGCGCGGGCTCTGTGCGGGCTGCGCGCGGCTGCAGGGGGCTGCGCGCGGCTCTGTGCGGGCTGCACGGGCTTAGTGGGGGCAGCGCGCGGTAGCAACGGGCTGCGCGCGGCTCGGTGCGGGCTGCGCAGGCCTGGAGGGCGTGTAGGGGCGGCGCGCGGGCCTTACGGGCCTTTAGGGGCAGCGCGCTGGCCTAGGGCAGCAGGAGGCAGCGCTAGGGCTGCTGGACGGCTCGCGTAGTGCAGCACGTCACAAGGCAAGGCAAGGCAGGCAGGTACGTGGGGTAGCGCGGTAACCGCAGTGGTAGGTGGGCCCGAAAAAAAAAGCGGTCCTACGGACCTTAGTGCTCTGAAACCATGTTAGAATCTGACAGCAGGAATGAATGCATTGATCAAGAGTTGGGTACATAAGCTAACCCTAACATTGGGTTGTACCCCATATGGGCTACCCCACTAGCAGCCTACACAAACACAATATGCATAGTTTGACAGGCACCGCGGGACGATGACGTCGTAGTCTCGTCGTCGACGGTCGCTCGTTGGAAGTCGCTCCCCGCGAAGGCTCTTGATACCAAGTGTTAGGCCCGCTGGCCTAAGTCCGCTAAGGAATTAGCGGGGTCGACTAAGTCGAGGATAAACGCGGCGGAAGACTTTGGCGAAAGAGAGTGTTGGCGAAATAGGCGAAGAAGTAACTGAGTAATTGAAGAAGAGTTGAATGAGAATTGGTTGATAATGCCAAGTACAAGCAAGGTTTATATAGCATGCAAGAAACAAGGTTGGAAAGTGGATTGTGGGACCAAGAATTGTAGTGCAAGAAAAGTAGAGTGCCACGTGGCACTAGAGAATCTGAGAAGATAAGGATAAGGATGACTTGGAAAGTACTGTTCAAAGTGAACAGTAAATCCCCCTTAACATTTCGCTGAATAGAGTAAAGGGACTGGTGTTCCATTCAATAGCTGCTCCGTGAAGTACGAAGTGGTAGTCGATCTCTAGCAGCAGGCAAACCATGTCGACGCCACGTCGGACAGCCTCAGAACTACGTCCGTCCGCCATTCACGCGATCTCCGTTGCCACGACCCGCGTCGCGGGAGATATTCTCGCCACGTCAGCAGGGTCCGCGCCGTCGAGAAGGATTCTCCGCTGGCTTCCCTGGATGGCGATCGGAGCTGCTGCCACGTGTCTCTCTCTCCTCGCGTTCCTGTTCTCCGCGTCGCCTCTCACGCGAGCTCGAGAATTGATAGCCTCGTTCGGTAGCGAAGCGGGAGGGATCGGTGACCAATTTTCGCGCGAAACCGGCGGCGGGATTCACGGCGGGAAGTACGGCGCATTCTACGGCGGAACACACGGCGCGATGCACGGAGCGCTGAGTGCGGAGGAAATGGATCGGCCATTCCTGGAGAGCCCTTACGTGCGGCGGATTCACGATGACATGTGGGGGGAAGGAGCACTGCACATGCCCTTTGAAATCGAGTGAGTAAAGGGGGCGAGGGGCCGAAAGGCGAGAGGGAGAGAGGGGGAGAGGGGGAGAGGGGGGAGGGGGAGAGGGGAGAGGGGAGAGGGGAGAGGGGAGAGGGGGGGAGGAGGAGAGGGGAGAGGGGGAGAGAGGGAGAGGGGGCCTAGTAGGAGGCAGTAGAGAGGAAGAGGATGAGCGGAAGGTAGGGGGGTGTGGGGAACGTAGGGGTGGAAGGGGGAGGGGGGGAAAGGCGGGGGAGGGAAGAAGGGGGAAGGGGTGATAATGGCCTCTCTTGCACGGTCTGATACTTGTCCAACCGGGTAAAGTATTTGATGCTTCTGAGGCGCCTCAAAAGCCTTTCCAACCGGGTAAAGGGTCTGGTGCTCACTCGCTCTCACTCTCACCCAGTCACTGATCTCTCACTCTCACCCAGTCACTGATCTCTCACTCTCACCCAGTCACTGATCTCTCACGATTTGTTACCTTCCTCCCGTGCTTCCCGTGCTTCCCGTGCTTCCCTGCTCCTTCCTCCCACAAACCTCCCTCGCTCTTCCTTGCCCACTTACCCACTCCCTCGCTCCCTCCCTCCATCCCTCCCTCACTCCATCCCTCCCTCCCTCCCTCCCTCCCTCCCTCCCTCCCTCCCTCCCTCACTCACTCACTTTCTCACTCCGTTATGCATGTACTCATGGACTCAGTTCCTCACGCACTCATCTCACTCTCCCTTTTCCCTCTCCCTCACTCTTCCCCTCACTCTCCCCCTCACTCTCCCCCTCACTCTCTCCCTCACTCTCCCCCTCACTCGCGCCATCCAGCCAGCCAGTGGGTGCAGGAGGGCGGATGCACGCGTCTGGTGCATCGCATGGCTCTTGACCTTCGCATTGACCTCGCGCTCTCACCGCACGCCCATGCACACACCGGCGCCAGTGGAAGTAGCAGCAGTGATGCCAGCAGCAGCGGTGTTGAGACAGCAGCAGCAGCAGCAGCAGCCACGCAGAAACCTCTGTCTCAGGAAATCCTGCGTCCATTTCTGCCTCTGACGACCTGCGCTCACTGCTGCTCTCTCTTCTCGACCACTTCTCCACCACCCTTCCCACTCAAACCACGAGACCTGCTGCTGCCGCTTCTGCTGCTGCTGCTTTTGTGAAGGATGATGGTGGGGGGAATGGTGGTGGGGGGAATGGTGGTGGGGGGAATGGTGGTGGGGGGAATGGTGGTGGGGGGAATGGTGGTGGGGGGAATGGTGGTGGGGGGAATGGTGGTGGGGGGAATGGTGGTGGGGGGAATGGTGGTGGGGGGAATGGTGGTGGGGGGAATGGTGGTGGGGGGAATGGTGGTGGGGGGAGTGGTGGTGGGGGGAGTGGTGGTGGGGGGAGTGGTGGTGGTGAGGGAAAAGATGGGGGTGGGCAGAGGGATATGTTTGGGTGGAGTGAGCATGGCGTGTGGGATAAGCTGTGGGAGCAGTTATCCCTGCGACAGCAAGAGAGGCAAGGGCCGCAGCTGTGGCAGCAGCAGCAGCAGCAGCAGCAGCAGCAGCAGCAGCAGCAGCAGCAGCAGCAGCAGCAGCAGCAGCAGCAGCAGCAGCAGCAGCAGCAAGGGCAGCAGCAAGGGCAGCAGAAAGGGCAGCAGCAAGGGCAGCAGCAAGACTGGGAGCAGCAAGACTGGGAGCAGCAAGACTGGGAGCAGAGACAAAATTTCCCCAAAAAATCCTTCTCTGTGAATATGTCCCTTCAGGTGACGCCACTGCACCGCACTGCAGTGCGCTGCTGTATACCGCACTGCACCGCACTGCACTGCCCTGTGCACTGGCTCACCCATGGAATTTCTGTACCGTAGCATTCTATCAGCTCACCTTTCCATGCCGCCTGCGCTTCAATCGTCCTCATCATTAACAGGTGAATTCCGATGCAACCCGCTATTCTTCCGTCCCACCCCCATATCCCTCCATCCCGCTTCTCTCTCCTACCAGACGAACTCACCCCCCAGCTGCCTGCATGCGCACAGGAGTCACGTGGCAGTGCATGTGAGGGCGCACCCTGCATGGTTCAGCTCGCACTACGGCACGGCCATGGGCCTGCAGGGGCACCACCACTGCCCGCGCTGCAACCTCTCCTGTTCTGTGCGTGCTGCTGGTGATGGTGATGGTGATGGTGGTGGTGGTGGTGCTGCTGCTGTTGCTGCTGCTGCTGCTGCTACTGCTGCTGCTCCTGCTGATGCTGCAGCCTACACATTCATCTGTACATATATATACGTATATATATGTTCATTTAGTATTCACCTTGGGAAGGAAGGTCCCTCTTGTTCCATTCTCTCGCTTCTCATGTGTGCAGGTCTCATGGGACCCTGCCACCGCTGCCACCGCACTGGTTCGAGTCGACTCAAAGGTCCCTCGTGTTCCCTCCCTTCATGTTCGCTGCTCTCCCATCCCATGTGTGCAGGTCTCATGGGACCCTGCCACTTCTGCCACTGCACATGCCCATCTGCACGTGAGGGGCGCAGAGGCCAGCACTGCTGCTGCTGCTGCTCCGGGTGTGTCTGTAACAGGGGCAGAGGCCAACAGCACGGGCAGCAGCACGGGCAGCAGCACGGGCGGCAGCACGGGCGGCAGCATCAGCAGCAGCGCAAGCCATGTCGCCTGGGAAAGCAGCAGCAACTTGCGTGGCCCTGTGATGATTCTACTGGATCTGGAACCCCCAGCTCCGCCCCTGCTGGTGCCTGGGCGAGGGAGAGGGAGGGGGAGGGGCGGAACGCGAGGAGAGGGGTTTGATGATGGTGCTGCTGCTGATGCTACAGGTGCTGCTGGTGCTGCTGGTGGTGCTGGTGGTACTGCTGGGGGGGTTTGGGATGTGGTGATGTCATACCACAGAGATAGTGACATTCAGGTGAGCAGGGAGCGTGGAGGGGCGACTCTTGATTGCACAACTGTAGCAAATACTTCCAAGAGCGGTTTTTTTTTTGTTTGTTTGTTTGTTTGTTTGTTTGTTTGTTTGTTTTTTGTTTGTTTGTTTGTTTGTTTGTTTGTTTGTTTGTTTGTTTGTTTTTTTTTTTTTTTTTTTTTTTTTTTTTTTTTTTGTGAGGTGTGTGCCTTGTGCTTCCATGTCACTTTTTACTCTTCATCTCATTCCTCACACTTCCTCCTCCTCCTCCCCCTCCTCATGCCTCCTCCTCCTCCTCCCCATTCCTTCTATGCGTTCCGCTTGTGCACGTGCCTCTCGTCGTTGGTCCCCTTCCCCCGCCTAACCAGCTGACCTACGTGGGTATTAACGACGACCTCTCACGCCCTCACATGCGCTCTGCTTCCAAAATGAAGGTGCGTGCGTGTGTGTGTGAGTGCGTGTGAGTGTGTGTGCATGCACATGTACAGCAAGACCATCTCTTATTCGCCTTGGGGTCGTGTCCACACATTCACATGCAAATACTTCCATGCCCAATGTCTGAATACTCAGTGCCTTGTATCCACTCTGGGCACTCCTCCATCCAACACGTTTCCTTTTGTTCATTCGTGCCTCCCATCGAAGCTTTCCATCGCAGCTTTCCATCGAAGCTTTCCATCGCAGCTTTCCATCGAAGCTTTCCATCACAGCTTTCCATCGAAGCTTTCCATCGCAGCTTTCCATCGAAGCTTTCCATCACAGCTTTCCATCGCAGCTTTCCATTGCAGCTTTCCATCGCAGCTTTCCATCGCAGCTTTCCATCGCAGCTTTCCATCGCAGCTTTCCATCGAAGCTTTCCATCGCAGCTTTCCATCGCAGCTTTCCATCGCAGCTTTCCATCGCAGCTTTCCATCGCAGCTTTCCATCGCAGCTTTCCGTCGCAGCTTTCCATCGCAGCTTTCCATCGCAGCTTTCCATCGAAGCTTTCCATCGCAGCTTTCCATCGCAGCTTTCCATCGCAGCTTTCCATCGCAGCTTTCCATCGCAGCTTTCCATCGCAGCTTTCCATCGCAGCTTTCCATGGCAGATTTCCATCGCAGCTTTCCATCGCAGCTTTCCATCGCAGCTTTCCATCGCAGCTTTCCATTGCAGATTTCCATCGCAGCTTTCCATCGCAGCTTTCCATCGCAGCTTTCCATCGCAGCTTTCCATCGCAGCTTTCCATCTCTCTCCCCAATGCGTGCCTGAACTTATCTGTCTTCATACACATCCGTTTGTTATCCGCGTGACCCTTAATTCACCCTCCCCCTTCTTCCTTTCTTCTCTTCCCAAATCCATCCGTCAAAACTCCTCTCTTGAGTGCCCCTTCGGCCTTCCTCTTTCTCTCTTCATCTCCCTGCATCTCTCTTCATCTCCCTGCATCTCTCTTCATCTCCCTGCATCTCTCTTCTTCCCTCTCCTATCCGCATTCTGCTTCAGTCCACTCCAACTCTCCACCTGGCTTCGCACTGCTCTCCTGCATGGCGCGATGACCTGGCATCTGCTGTGCTGGCAGCGCTGCCACGTCATCATTCCTTTGGGGCATGTCGCAACAACATGCGGCCAATCACAGAGCAGAAGGCACACCCTGGGTGCAGGTATGACCGTGGGTGCAGGTATGACCGTGGGTGCAGGTATGAACCTTTTCCCCTCTCCATCCCTTTTCCCTCTCCCATCCCGTTACCCTCCCACCGTTCCCATTCCTCCCTCCATCCCCGTTTCCTCCTTCCACTCATCAGATCGGATCCAGACACGTGGCAATCTCGCACCCACTGTGTCATGTCCCGATACAAGTTTGTACTCGCTATAGAGGGAGCCGTACTCCCTGGATACGTCACGGAAAAGCTCTTTATACCTCTAGAAGCCGGTACACGCCCTGTTATTTTGCCTGTGCTGCAATTGCCCCAACTTGTGGTTTGAACATTTTTTTGTCGTTATTATCGGTTCTGTGCTTCATTTTCTGCTTCAACGTCTATCCTCTGTTCTTGGTAGGATAATTCATGTCGGTGTTGTTATTGTGCCAGGTACTGTACCAATCTACTATGGAGCTCCGGACGTCTATAACTATGCACCTCCTTACTCCTCCATCAATCTAAGGGACTTCTCCGATTTCACGCATCTGGCTGCTCTTATTGATCGACTCAGTACCAACACAAGTACGTGCCAGCAAGGGAGTGTTACCGTACTCATTGTAAGTGTTGTTTTCATAGTACGGTAGGTTAAACGAAATAGGGAGTGCGGGACGAGGAGATAAGCGAAACAAAGAACGTGATATGAACATGTACCAACTTATCACGGTTGCCTTATATGCTTATCATGTTGACACATAGCCCCCTCTTGTCACCTATCCATGCGTTTCCTTCAGTTTCTATCCTCTTTCCCTACCGCTGCCTGGCACCCCTCCCTTCCTCTGCTCTATTCCTCTCGAGTTATGTCTGCATCATGTATATGTGTACCATTTCAGGCGAGTATTTGGATTACCATGCATGGAGAATCTGTGGCCTTCCTGGCAATGCCCGGCATGCTGCTGAGCTGGGCATTAGGACCTTACCTTGTCGTCTTTGTGAAAGTGTTGCCAGATTATTATACTAATAGCTTTTTACATGGGAATGTGGTGTGGCACCCTTCTGTAAACAACATACATGGAACTACCGTATTTGTCATTTGATTCTGCAAGCCCCAATCAGGGTTTAAAAGTAGGCAAGAAGGCAGTTGCAGCTGCATGTTATCATCCAAATCTCCCATGTAATCATTTCAGTATCCTTGACCCAGCCCGGGTTGTTTTCCCAGTAGTGAGCTTTTATGTGATCAATTTGATCATATAGTAGCTCGGCACATTTAATACATTTTACAGTCGTTTTTCGTAACTCCGGCTCGAACATCTTACTGAATCATCTTATCCCAACCATAATGGGGTGTAAGGGAACAGTCCTAGCTGCGGCTCACGTGTGTGGTGTGCTTTTTCGGCCATTTTCAGGTGCATGCAACTTAGCCTAGGAACACTATTCAGGTGCATGCCAGGTTGCGTACAATTTTCTCAGGTTAAACAATGTCTCTCGTTAATTCACACTCTTTTCAAGATTTGATTCGAATTGACACAAAAGGTCTGAAATAGGTGCGATTTCGGGCTACACCTGGGCTCCACTAATTTCAAGGCCCGAAATTGGGCGCTCGCGGGTAGCTACCCTTATTATGTCTGGGACCAAGGGCTGTACAGAGTGAAACATATTTTGAAGTAGGTAGGGTTTCGGACTCCTTGTGAGGGCGATGACGCAACGAAGGTCGCAACTAGAAAATTTTCCCGTCAGAGTGGGTTGTAAGCCTGATCCACTGAGGGACTTATTGTTTTAAACAAATGTTGAGGAGAGCGTCCTCAATATCATTTTGATTCTGGGTGTCTGAAAGATACGGCTGAATCTGGTCTAGGGTGACTCTGAAAACATTTTTCCGGGCTTGAAATTAGTGGAGCCCAGGTGTACACAAATCGGAATTGGAATGGTTGGCTCTCGATGCTGCATTTTCTGACGTCACTGAGTGCAATGATTGCATTTTGTCCAATTTCTACGCGAGCTTCTGCATTTCGCTAACTCTTTTTAAAAGAATCTAATGCTAGATCTGTTGTACTGTTGACGCATATGACGGACGCTGCGCATGACAAATCAGCAAACCCTTCGTAAGTGTTTGTAAATTTTGGATCTACCAAAATTAATGTTTTGCCGTACATGTATATTGAAATAGGTGAAAAGCAGTGGCGTTAATTAGTCAGTCATTAAAATACATTTAACGTACGATATCCCTAATAGCGTTAGGGGTACCTCTCTCTAATACTCGGGAATATTTCTCGTGTTTCGGATTACCCTTTCCAAGTAATGCACGTCCCACTAGCGTTTGCTGATATGACCCGCGAAGCGTCCACCACATACGCCAACAGTACACCCGATTCAGTATTACGGTTCGCTCAAAAAGATTTGGCGCAAAGCAAACATTTGCGTACGAATTGGGCAGATATGCAATCATTACACTGAGTTACGTCAGAAAATGCAGCATCGAGAGCCAACCATTCCAGTTCCGATTTGCGTAGCCTGAAATCGAATCTATTCAAACCTTTTGTGCCAATTCGAATCGTATCTGGGAAAGCGTGTGAATTAACAGGAGACATTTTTAACATGAGAAAACTGTACGCAAGCTGTATGCACCTGAATAGCGGTTCTAGGCTAAGTCGCATGCACCTGAAAATGGCCGGTGCTTTTTCAGCGATGACAGGGGTTTGTCGTCCTGTGATTCGCCCATCTCTTGTTAATCACACGTGTCACGTGTGGACAGTCTGACCGTCAGCGTCGACGACTCGACCACCAGTCTTTGTCAGGCGGACGACTCAATCATCTCGCAATTTAATGTCGTTAAGTGTGGTTACAGTATACATGTGGTGTCAGATTGTTCGTAGATCATCCTGCGATGAGAGAGGTCTCCAGCGCGACAGTAATTAGGCGATAAGGACAATCGCAACAGTTTTCGTTCATGCGGCAGTTTGTCGTCCTTGCGACTACGTGCTGGAACATTGCGCGCCACCTGAAACCTGCCAAACCTGCTCCCCGCGTTCTGGAGAACCATGTGGCAGAGATCGGTTGGGTTTGGTCACCTTTGGAACTCAGCCACCAACCAACCGCTCGTCTCCGATCACGCGGTCATCTTTTTACGCACTTCCCGCTCCCCTCCAAAACGTGAGCGGAATCCGTTACACAATTATGCTGGGCCTTCATGCTTGGCTCTGCTCCACCTCTTCCTGCTCCTGCACAATTATTCCCCTCGTTCCTGTTCTGTCCGTCCTCCTCTCAGCTCCGCGACGCGTGGCGCGACCTGGTCGTAACGAAGATCCTTCCGCGCGCTGAATACTGTTTTTGAATGCGACAAGTGACGGTAGTTACATAGCCTTCGGTGGAATTCGTCCGACATGTCGGCTGGGCCAGTTATGCATTCGCGACGATGACGAAACAACCTGAGCACCCTAAAGCGAAATGCCACCCCCAAAGCTCCAATTTCACCCAGTCGCCGATTGGCTAGCTGCCGCCACCACCTCTCTACAGTATCATCACCTCGAAAGACGCGGCGCGAGCACGGGGGCAAACTCCCCGATCCCTCGCTCCGAAGTCTCCCCCACCCCCCTTTCCCCACCCCGCTCCGCTCCCCCAGTCTCCACTTTTTCCAGAGACTTGCCTTTTCCCCCATGCTCTGTTCACTGTGGTTTTCCTCCCCCTTTCTCCTCCCCGCCCTAAACGTGCTCTCTCTGCATGGTGTGATCAACTCTCTTCACCAAAGTGAAACGAAACTAACCACATTGCAAACCCCTTTGCCGGAGGATCGAAGTTTCTACTTCATTCGACCTGTGGCATCAAGCATCCGCCATTATTGTAACCTTCTTGTCTCTGAAGTCCAGCGTGCAATTCATTCTAATCTCGAATTCCTCGCCATTTACACTCGATTCTTTTGCCCAGCATTAGACCATTTTCCGCATTCTCTTCCAAACGATAAACTTCCGCGGTCAACTGTCGTAGTCGTTCCTCGACTTCCTCCTAATCGCCAGCAACAACAGCCATGCTGAGTCACCTACCGCAGCCTTCGCAGTTAGCTTCTCCGTCACCGACACCCCACCGACAGCCCTACGTCTACGCGCTGCCTTGCTACAACGACCGTACATCGGAGCTTGTCTCCGTTATAGAGCGGTTTGATAAAGCGGCATCGTGGGACACACAGGCGGCGACCATGGGACAGCAATCAGGCACAAGGGCGCAAGGAATTCCTCCGCAGCAGAACCCGTTACAGCGCACAACGTCCTCCCTTCCAGTAACGGGTACAGAAGCGCCTCTCAGGCGAACCGCCTCGGTGAACCCCCGCGGTGCGGATAGCAGTCCACGTGGCAGCTCCGGCGGCAGCAGCGGCCCGTCCTCCCCGATTCGCCTGGGAACAATCGCGACCTTCGAGGCGCCCGGGAAACCCACAGCCGCAACCGAAACCGCAACAAGAGCTGCAGCCGCAGCCGCATCCGCAACAGCAACAACAGACACCGAAACCAGTTCCGCCAACGCACCCATTCCGGGGCAGGGCCTATCAGCAGCGCCTGTCGCGTCGGGCCGCGCACGCGCCGCGAGCGCGGCGACGGCGCCCGGAGATTCCGCCCAGCAGCAGCAGCAGCACCCGCAGTCGGAACTGAGCCGGCGGGCGTCGCGCATCGGGCTGAGCATCCACCAGATGATGCAGAAGCTGCACAAGCTCGCAAAACGTGAGCCCGCCTGCACTGAGGTGATTTGTGAGGAGCCTCAAAAAAATACCTCGGGCTGAGCATACATCAGTTGATGTAGAAGTTGCACAAGCTCGCAAAACGTGAGCCCGGCCGGGCGTTCGTGGGTGCAAAACGGGCATGCGTGCGAGCGTGTGTGCGTGCGTGCGTACGCGTGATTGGCGGTGTGATGGAGGAAATTTGTGTGATTAGATTGTATTGAGACTGGCCCAACTCTGCTGTGCACCTCTTATTGTTTCCGCCCCCCGCCGATTCTCACCCACCCTCTCTTTCTCCCCTCCCCCTCACCCTCCTTCCCTTCTCCCCTCTCCGCCGTCATCGTGTTCCCCCTTCTCCCCCCCTTTCCCCCCCCCCCCCCCCTCTCTCTTTCCCCGTTCCTTCTCTGCGCCCAATCATGCTTCTCTTGAATACCCATCCAGTCTCGAAGCGCACGTCCATGTTTGACGATCCAACGGTCGAGATTCAGAATCTGTCGGCGCTCATCTCACAAGACCTCTCCGCGCTTGAAGCCGCGATTTCCGGACTACAAGCGTTTTGCGCAGCGCAGACGGGACCGGCGGCGGGAAACGCGGCGAGTTCCGCAGGAGTGGATGCTGCGACGCGGCAGCGCATCGACCTGGGAATGGCGGTGGTGGAGAGCCTCCGAGAGCGACTCGCGAAGGCAGGGGAGGAGTTTAAAGACGTCCTCGCGTCGCGATCAGAGGTACGGAACGGCCCCGCGCGGGGCGAGTCGTGGGAGGTTATCGATTTACGCGGCGAAAAGCGAGAGGACGGTTATCACGGTGATAACGCGACTCCTTATAGGCGAACTACAGGTACTAGTGGCACTCGTAGCAATAGGAGCAGCAGCGACACTCGTAAAACTGGGAGCACTCGGTACTAGTCGCACTCGTTTTGACGGATTAGCCGGTAAACCCGTTGAGGAGCCCTAGGGCGCGTAGCGCTGGCACGCGTTGGTACTAGGTAAGTACGTGCAGCTTTGCATCGACTCGGTCCTGCGCATAAACGGGCGTCTGCCTAGGGATGTACGGGACGCGGCAGGGGAAGGCGAGAACTCACGCTCGTGGGTTCTCATTCACATGTTTCGCAGGTGAAATGAAAACCACCCGCTCAAGCGTCCCACGCGCCTTGCTCCCCTCCCTCACCGTCGTTCTGCGCTCTCCCCCTTCCTCCATCCGTCCCTGTCTCCATCCCCCTCAGGCCCTGAAAGTGAGCGAGAATCGGCGGCAGCTCTTCTCCGCTACAGCCGCCACGGGCCAGAGCGCTACAGCCTGGCACAGCAAGCGCCCCGTGGTGGGAGCCGGCACTGCTCTCCTCCCCACCACCTCCTCCTCCTCCCTCTCCTCCCTCTCCCTCGCCTCCTCCCCCTCCGGCTCCCCCTCCTCCTCCCCCTCCTCCACCCTACCAGTCTACAACCCGTTTGGCCGAGCCACCCCTGCAGCCACCACCAGCAACGGCCACACCGGGTACACTCCCAGCAAGAGCAGCGCTAACGGTAACGGTAACAGCTTGTTACCGACGTACTGCACGGCTGCTTCCAGCAGCAGCGTGCAGCAGGCAGCAGTGGCGAGTGAGCAGCACGCAGTGGTGCTACAGCAGGTGGAGAGCAGCATGGGGGAGCTGACTGCTGTGTTCCGGGACCTGGCGAATACGGTGGCGCAGCAGGGGGGCGCGCAGGGTGCGCATGTGAAGGGCGAAGGCGCTGCTGACCTGGCTATTTGGTGAGTGCTGATGGCGGTTGGGTTGGGTGCGGTGGGGTTAGGTTGGGTATCATGGTGGGGATGGGAGTGGGCGTGGGGGTGGGGGTGTGGGTGGGGGTGGGGGTGGGGGTGGGGTTGGGGGTGTGGGTGGGGGTGGGGGTGGGGGTGGGGGTGGGGATGGGGATGAAGATGTGAATGAGTGGGGATAAGAGCCGTGCATCTATGTTCTCCTTGTTGTGAATATGAACTGTGAGCATGAGCTAGGGACTGCCTGCACCTTTGGGAGCGATCACTCACGTCGTCACTTTGTATCTTCATATCTCCCCGCTTCTCTCATCCCTCCCCTGCAGCATTGATGACGGGCTGTCAGAGTCACTGCTGCAGATGCAGCAGACGCATGGCATGCTGCTGCAGCAGCTGGACATCACACACTCGCACCGACCTCTCATCATCAAGTCATTCCTCACACTCGCCTCCTTGCTCTTCCTCCTCTTCGCCTTCTCTGCCTAACCAACATGCAAACCGGAAGATATACCTTTCCCTGTTCCTGTTCCTGTTGATGTGGCTTGGGTGTCAGACTCTCAATCAATACCTTGACTAAACCTAGGAGCAGATTTAACTAAGTTTTAGTCTGCTCTTACCTACGAACACCTTTATTCTTCTGCGACAGATTGGTAATAAGGCTAGCTCTCTGCCAATGCATACTGCTCTGACCATATAATGCCTCAATTATACTGTAAACCCCCGGAGATAAGACCCGGGGGTCTTAACATAATCACACAAAAAAAATGGGGGGGGGGGGGTCCACAAAAATGTCACATATTGTGAAAGTGTACTTAGGCTGATTGGCAAAGGCAGCGCTATCATTTCATATGGGCAAAGGCAGCGTTATCATTTCATATGGATTGTAGTACATCGTTCTCGTCTTATATAAATCTACATAACAGCACACAATGGGTGGGCGGGTGGGAAATTAGAACTACAATTTTGAAAATGAAAACGTGGGTGGGGACGAATGTCCCCACGTCCCTCTTTTGTAGGCAAAAGAGGGTGAGTAGCGCTTCGGCGCTACCTTTGCTGTGTTGGCCACGTACCCCTTTTCACAATACAAAATTTTAGAAAGTGTTACATTTCATTACACTTTCAAAAATTATCATATTGTGAAAGTGTACTTAGGCTGACTGGCAAAGGCAGCGTTATCATTTCATATGGGTCTTCTGAGGCAAGTGCAGTCGGGGCTGGCGGTGTCGTTCGATTGACAGCTGATGCGTAGCGGGCGAGGGAGCCGTCGAAGGATCCTGCAATTGCGTAGAGAGGGAGATGAGCTGATCCTGCGCGATTGTAACGTACATCTCCTTCGCGCTGTCGCTGCGCCATCGGCCCATGCGTTTGAAGAGCCGGTCAGGAACTCCGAGGCTTGCCGCCGCCGTGGCTGCGCCTTTGCGGAATGAGTGGGTTCCGATGTGCGCGACATCCAGTCCAGCTTGCCTGCCGGCCGCGAGGCACCAGTTTCTGATCGTAACGTAGGATGGTGATTTGTCGTTCGGTGTGGCTTGCGAGTTCTTCGGGAAAACCCTTATCAGCGGTCCATGTGGCACCTTTGTGAGGCCTGCGATGTGTATAAATGTGCGCGTGCACCTCACCGGGCAGTATGGGCCTGGAATTGCTGCCACTGGGATCCAGACTCCCCTCCCCTCCTGGTCCGTCTTGGAGTGCGGGATGAGCAGCCACATTGCCTTCTCCTCGAACTGTACATCATTCCATTGGAGCGAGACGAGGTCGGAGTAGCGCAAGAATGCAGAAAACATGAGAAGAGGAATCAATCCTTTCTGGTATTCCGCAGGAATTGGTGATTCGAGGAAGGGACGAGCCATGTCGTGCACTTGATGGAGAGAGATCGGCTCTTTGGTCCTTGTAGGCCGAGGGCCATGTCTCTTGGCGAACTCCCGCACTTGCAGGGTGAGTGGGCCAGCGGTAGGGGAGGTTTCGCCTGTCATGCGGTGGGCGAAGGCTACTGCCGAACACGTGAGGTTGATCGCAGAGAGAGTTGCTTTGTTGTTGAGCGCATGGATGAGATACAGCGCTAGCGTCAGGTCGGTTGCCGGTAGGAACTCGAGCTTAACTTGGGTACAGAAGGTGCGAAATCTCTGCCAATAAGGTTGGTACGTCTCGATTGTAGATGGTGCGCGAACGTGGCTAATTACGTGCATCAATTGTTGCTTTAGTTTGGCCAAAAGTCCTGAAATGACACATTGAGAAATTGTTATTAGACCGCATAGTTTACACGCAAAGCAATGATTGGGCTATGGGGCAATCCGAGACCAGAGAATGCAGCTGTGTGTGAACCTGCCCGAAGGCATTGGCTGCCTTGGGCAAGGGAAAGGTGCTCTACTACTGCCGGAGCCCACGATTGAGTGGACGGCTGGAGAAGCGGCCACCATGACGCTCCGGTCCACTGTGGAACGACGAGCGTGAGTTCTGTCTGCGTCAGTTCCGCATGGCGGAGTGTAGCGGGAATTAAGTGTGGAGGCGGGAAGGCAAAGCATCGCTCGCCTGTCCACGAGATGGAAAATGCGTCGACGGCGAACGCGTCGGGGTGCGGTATCTTAGAGCAGAAGCGCTGAACGTGATTGTTCCGAACGTTAGCAAAGAGATCAATTGTGTGAGGCCCCCAGCGTCGTTCCAAGAGGCGAAACCAAGGTGCGTGTAGGGAGTAGTCGTCAAAATCTTGCATCTTGGATAGGTCATCCGCATGGGCGTTGAGCTCTCTCGGAATCCATTCGATCGCGAGGCGTGTTGTGTTGCCGAGGCAGAACTGGATGATCGCTTGGCATGTCAACGTAAGATCCGCCTGACGGGATCCCCCTTTGCGCAAGATAAACATGACTGCCTGGTTGTCTACCCGGACGAGGACGTGAGCACCCACGATTTGGGTTGCGAACGTCCGCAGTGCCCAGAGCACTCCCTCGAGCTCTCGCCGCGTACTAGATGTGGGGAGAAGCCCTTGTGGCATGCACTCGCTTGCCTCGCATGATGTACTTGGGAACTTGGCCAGAGTGGCACCCCAGCTGTGTGCGCTTGCGTCGACGTGTATCACGGCATCAAAACGCTGACTCTGGTGGAATGGGGCGCCATTGAAACGATCGAAGTGCATTGTCCAAAACAGCAGCTCCTCGGTCGCTCCTGGTGACAATAAAACCTTTGAGTTCCATGACCATGCGGAGTCGATCAAGTGCAGAAGCTCATGGCTGAAGGCACGCGCCGTCGTGCCCAGCGCGAGCGACATGGAGCTGAGAAATCCAGTGATCCGGGCTATCTTGCGAATCGGCACTTGGCGACCCGATTGCCCTTTTTTTATAAGTAGGTGGAGCTCCTGCAGTAGTTGTTCGCGCCGATCCTTTCCGACAATGAACATCCCTCGTTCCGTGTCAAGCTCCATCCCCAAAAAGCGCAAGTGGTGTGCGGGATGCAGGTGTGATTTCTTAGAATTTATCACGAATCCTGCCGCCTTCAGGTCGTAGAGAACTTCGATGCACGTCGAACGGGCTAGCGCCTCGGAGTCGCAGAGGAATAGTAGATCGTCCACGTATGGTATTACGCGCACTCCGCGCGCGCGCCATCTCTTGGCTAGTTGCTTAATAAGCTGGGTGAAGACGAACGGGGCTGTTGCCAGGCCGAAAGGTAAGGATGTGAAGCAATAGAAATTTCCGCCCAATTGAAAGCCCAAAAACTTCCAGCACGATGGGTGGATTTCGACGTGGTGGTAGCCTGACTTGAGATCGATTGTGAACATCCAGTCGTTTGGGCGAATGATTTCCGCGACCCGACTCAAGCCTTCGTACTTGAACTTGGGAACTTGGAGGTGAGCGTTGACCTTCCGCAGGTCAAGGATGAGCCGACATTTGTCTCGTTGCTCCACAACATTGAGCGGGCTGATGCACGTAAGTGCGGCTTTCGACGAGACATGCATCGCGGCGCCTGACGCGATGAGGTCGCTGACCGCGTCTTGGGTGAATGCCATGTGTGCTTGGACGCCTGCGTGATTGGGCGCTTCGAAGGGGAGAGGCTCCGCGCCCTTCCATGGTAGCCAGTACCCTCTGGCAATGATGGAAAGGATAAGACTGCTGTCGCACCATGACAGCCACCAATGGAGGCTATTGCGCAATCGCATGCGCATGATGGACACCATGTTGTCCGTTATTGCGTCCTCGTATGGGTCCCAATGAGCACTCCGCCACTCGCCTTCCACTTCTGCAATTAATGGGCAACCGAGGTTGTGGGGGGGGGGGGGGGACCAGGACCAAGGTCGATTAGGCGCGAGATAATACGGCACGCTTTGTGGGGCAAACTATGTCGCTTGTCTTCTACCGCCGTCGCGCCTCCCCGCACTCCCGGGGTTGTTTTGTTTGTTTGTTTGTTTGTTTGTTTTTTTTTTTTCAACACTTCGCTTGAGCAACCCTCAGCTTTGACACTCTTGCATGTTTTTTTTTTTTTTTTTTTGGATTGCCTTGCAACGAGATTGGCGCATTTGCGTCACTAGGTCCCACGACCTTGTCTCTCTCTCGAGAGAGAGAGAGAGAGAGCGATCGAGAGAGATCTCTCTCTAGAGAGAGACTCTCTCTCTCTCTATCTCTCTCTCTCCTCTCTCTCTCTCTCTCTCTCTCTCCTCTCTCTCTCTCTCTCTCTCTCTCTCTCTCTCTCTCTCTCTCTCTCTCTCTCTCTCTCTCTCTCTTCTCTCTCTCTCTCTCTCTCTCTCTCTCTCTCCTCTCTCTCTCTCTCTCTCTCTCTCTCTCTCTCTCTCTCTCTCTCTCTCTCTCTCTCTCTCTCTCTCTCTCTCTCTCTCTCTCTCTCTCTCTCTCTCTCTCTCTCTCTCTCTCTCTCTCTCTCTCTCTCCCCTTCTTCTTTGTTTTTCTCTTGGTCCTTGCTTTGTCATTCACCCCTGGCCAATCCTTCCTCCATGGCTGCCTTCCTCAAGAGGGGGCTGGATTTTTTATTGGTTGTGCCATTTGTCTTCTCTCCTCATGTTGTCTCCCTTTCTCTCTCTCCATTGTTTTTTTTTTTTTTTTTTTTCCAATAACAAAATTCTTTTATTAATCCACACAAAGGCATACAAGCCTAGGCCTACACAATAACCAGCCCCTACGGCTGCCATCTTGCCCTGGCCCCCATGGCCTATACTACGTTCCAAGGCTCCTAACCAGCCTACGCACCACCGGTGCATCCACCTACGCCCCCCGGCATAGTGGCAAGGGGCGCCGCCCCATGGGTCCTCTCACACCACGGGTGTGGGACCTTGTGCGCCACGCCCTCCCATAGGGCAATTGTTTGCCATATGGCCGGGCTGGCCGCAACGGAAACACACCCCCTTGAAGCGGGGCTCGTGGCAGCCCGCGGGTGGCATGCCCTTGCTTTCCGGTTCACCGTCTCGAGGGGGAAGGCGGCCTCCGCGGGCGAAGCCGGTACGTGCACGCTTGAGGGCCGCCACGTCGGCTACCGCGAGCTTGTAAGAGCGGGACGTGAGCACGCTCTTGGCTTGGTACAGCTGGAACCGATCCGCCGCTTCGAAACCGGCCTCATCCGCCACCAAGAGCACCTCGAAGCGTTTGTTGATCAACGTTTCGATTTGCTCCACGTTGGAGAGCGCGCCCTCGACGTCGCCGTTTTGGAGCTTGAACTCGACGTGCCTCAGGTGAGCTTGAATTGCGGAGAACACCTCCGCCTGGTCACGCACTCCCTTGCGCATGAAGGTAGTAGCTGCGGGTGTAGGGTTAAGGGGGGGAAGGGGAGGTGCGGGTGCGAGAATGCGACGACGAGCAAGGTTGTCGGGGGCCTCACCGTCTTCATTTTCCGAGTCGTCGCTGTCGTCGGGGATACGGGCTTGGGTTGGTGCCGGAGCCGGGGCGGGAGCAGGAGCAGCGTTGTTGGTGCGAGCGATTTTGGTGGAGCGGGGGGCTGCGACGTTTTCCTTCTGCTTTTCGATTTTAGCGGAAGCGGAAATTTCTTCCGTTGATGTAGCTGCAGTCGATGGAGCGTGCTGCTGCAATAACGAGAGCAGCGCCTGCAGCTGCTGCGCAGTCAAACGGGGGGGTGCGTTGACCGGGGTGATGTCAGCGGAGGGTGCCGCGCGCTGGCGTTTCTGGGTCGTGGGCCCGGATGGACCCGCGTCAGCGCCGGTCAAGACGGCCGCCGCGTCAGCGGCGGTCGTCGTCTTCTACGCAGCACGCGCGTGCCTGCCAGGCACGCGCTCTTCAGCAGCAGCCACGCGCGACTGTACAACAGTCGCGCGTTCCTCAGGGGGGGTCCGAAGGGTGCCTCCGAGCAGGAGGTCGACCGCCGAGGGTCCCTCGCTTGAAATTTCTTCGGCGGGACGTTTTCCGCCGCGACGATCCGTTGTCCCGGCCGGAGTCGAGGTTTCCGCCGCGTTACCGGGGCTAGAAATATTCGAGTTGTCGCGATTAAGTGCCGGGTTGACTGGAGCCATCGCTGCGAGGTTGCGCTTAAGGATGTCGTTAAGAAGCGTTGACGGGGCAGTGAAGCGCGGAAGCGATAGAGTCTTCGCCAGTGTGGACGAGAACGAAATTAGAACTACAATTTTGAAAATGAAAACGTGGGTGGGGACGAATGTCCCCACGTCCCTCTTTTGTAGGCAAAAGAGGGTGAGTAGCGCTTCGGCGCTACCTTTGCTGTGTTGGCCACGTACCCCTTTTCACAATACAAAATTTTAGAAAGTGTTACATTTCATTACACTTTCAAAAATTATCATGTTTAGGAAGCTTGCTTTCTCTTACTTATCATTTGGCATCGTTCTCATTTCAACTGGCAAATTACAACATGCAACTCGAGCTAGGAAACAGAAGTGCTAGTACATGTTACTTTACTGCGTATCAATCATTGTACTAGCTATTCATCATGCTACTTGATGTCTATCATGCTACAAGCTATCGATCTTCTCGTTCAAGCGGCGTCGTGTCTGTTAGAATCTAGCAGCAGGAATGATGAACTAGCAGCATGCAGGAGTACAAGTAGTAAACCCTAATTGGGCTGTACCCCATATGGGCTACCCCACTACAGCCTAGACAATATGCAGCATATATGTTTGACACACCCCCATAGGCAAAGTGGGGGAGAACAAGGGGTCAAACGACCAATCAAGAGAAGCAAAGCAAGCTCAGGGTGGATCTCAACGTCACCACACATTCTGAGCACAAGCAAAGGGCCACAAGGCCAGTCCACATGCAGAGATATATATGCAACAATAACAGTACAGTGATGACTACCTAGCAAGAGCAGGCATGCATGTATATATATATATCACAGTACAAGCAGAGACTACAGCAAGTGTGGAAACGTAGGCACAAGGCCTAACAGGGTACAAAAGCGCTGATGATCACCAGACGGAAGTGCCTTGGTGAATATATCAGCAGTGTTGGCCCGAGTGGCCACGTGACGAAGACGAAGCTGGCCTCGCTGCTGCAACTCTCGAGCCAGGAAGTAACGCAGAGCAATGTGCTTCGTTCTGTGCTCCAGTCTGTGCTCCTCACACAAGGCAATGGCGGCCTTGTTGTCGACGTACAGCACTGGAGGAGAACGAGGCTGCTCTCCCAAGTCAGTCAGCAGGTAGGTGAGCCAGCGTAACTCCTGTGCAGCCATGGCTGTGGCGTAGATCTCAGCCTCACAACTGGAGCTGAGAACTGAAGACGAGCGTGTAGAACGCCACGAAACTGAACCAGAGCCAAGGCTGAAGGTGTAACCCTGTGACGACCGCTGAGTAGCCAGGTCGTCAACCCAAGAAGCGTCTGAGTGCCCAGTGAGGACAACTGGGCTCGTCCCTCCAAGCACTAGCCCCATGCCTGATGTGCTGCACAAGTAGCGCAGTACCCTCTTAGCAGCAGCCATGTGCTCAGGTCGGTGCCGACCAGGAGCCACGTAGCGAGCCAGAAGACCAAGAGGGTACGCGAGGTCAGGTCGAGTGCAAGTCATCAGGTACATGAGGCAGCCGACTAGCTCTGGGTAAGGACCACTCGGCTCTACGGACTCGTCCGAAGGTGGAGCTGAGAGCGTGTGACCTGTAGCCAGAGGAGTGGCCTGTGCTGAAGACCAGGTGAAGCCGAAGCGCTGAAGGACCTGCTGCACCATGTGTGACTGAGTCAAGGTGATGGTGCGGCGTGCTCTGTCTCGGGTGATCTGCAAGCCAAGGTAGCTGCGCAGCTCACCCAAGTCTGTGCACGTGTGTCTCTTCTGCAGCTCCGACTTCACGTGGGCGAGAGCCTCAGTGTCAGCAGTGGCAAAAACCAAGTCGTCGACGTACACGAGGATGTAGAACGGCGGCAGTGAAGTGTCGGTGCGCAGAAACAGCGACGGGTCAGCAGTAGAAGGCGCGAACCCAAGAGCCGCAAGCGTAGTCCTCAGTGTGTCGTGCCACTCACGTGGTGCCTGGCGGAGACCGTAGACTGGCCGCCGGAGGCTCCACTGGGTGCCAGGAGGGAACGACCCAGTGAAGCCCGGGGGGCGGCGCAGCCAGATCTCCTCGTGCAGGCTGCCCTGCAAGAAAGCTGTGGGGTCACGGTGAGCAGCAACATGCAGCAGCACCCGAAGAGTGGTCATCTTCGGGGTAGGGGAGAAGGTCTGGAAGAAGTCAACTCCCTCTCGCTGACTGAAGCCTCGAGCCACGTAACGCGCCTTGAAGACAGGCGGAGAACCCGGCGGCCGCTTCACCCTGAAAATCCACATGCCACTGACGATGTTCGCCCCAGGTGGGGGAACCTCGTCAACGTAGGTGCCTGTGGACTTCCAGGAAGCCATCTCTGCGTCCATGGCTGCCTGCCACTGAGAGGAGTAGGGACCCTCTATCGCCTCTGCGTAAGAGCGCGGAGTCGGGATGTCTGGTGCATCTGGGTCTCCCTCAGGGGCAAGTAGCGAGGACACAAGATGAGGTAAAGCAGCAGCAAGACACTGGAACTCCTCCTGCCTGTCCTCAAGGACGTCCGTGCTAAGAGCACACTCACCCCCGACGGACGGAGGACAGACAGACTCAGACTCAGCAACAAGACTGGCGGCGTAGTCTAGACGACAGGCAGCAGCAAAGTCAACAAGCTCAGCGACCAAGGCAGACGCAGCAGTAGACTCAAACGACGGGTCAGTGACAACTGTGGCTAGTAGACGCGTGACAGTAGGGTGCTCAGCACGAAACCAGTCAGACTCAGGGTCCGGAACGGCAGGCAGAGAGGACGCAGGGGGAGACGGCAGAGGAACAGGCTGTGGAGCAGAGGAAGGACGACGGACAACAAGGTGTGCGCTGGGGACAGCCGGCTGACGCGCACGAGCGACACGACGAACGGTACGACCAGAACGAACAGGCGAGACAGGACGCGACGGAGGCTCACGACGCGTAGCAAGACTACCTGGCTGCTCAGTGTAAGGAGAGGGAGCAGGCAGCGGTGAGCCAGGCTGTAACGGAAGACCAGTAGACGACGGGAGAGTAACAACCTGACGAAGAGCAGAGTCAGGCGGCGGCAGAGACGACGGAGACGGCGGAGCGAAGAACAGTCGTGTCGGCGCAGCTGCACCAGTACCGGCAGCTCCAGCAGCTCCAGTGCCTCCAGCAGCTCCAGTACCTCCAGCAGCTCCCGTACCTCCAGCAGCTCCAGAAGCTCCAGTCCCAGAGCCGACACCCCCAGTCCCAGGGTCTCCAACCTCTGCGTCTCCAGCAGCAGCACCCCCAGACCCAGCACCTCCAGTCCCAGGGTCTCCAGCCTCAGTGTCTCCAGCACGAGCACCTCCAGAACCAGCGACTCCAGCACCTCCAGTAGACAAAGGACCAGCACCACTCCTAGCTCCAGCAGCGCGACGCTGACGGCGACCGTACCAGTCCTGCAGCTGCTGTGGGGTGAGAGGCACACGTGGACGAAGGCGGCTACTCCAAGGAGACCGCGC